GGCTAAGTCAAACATTGACAGTATTGGTGGAGTCAACACCGTCAGTGCTGGATACATACTTGCTTCTCTTCCTCTTGCGCCTTGGAGTCATTATTACACTTGTGTCGTTGCACCCAAACCTATCGGTCTAACTACCACTGGACTCTATGAAATTGAGGAATGCTATTTCAACTTCATGAGAGTATGTGCAGTCGACCCTCAGTGCAGGATATATACCTGAATTCTCTTCATCTTGCGCCTGAGAGTCATTGTTATATGTGTGCCATCGCAGCGAAACCTTCCAGACTAAAACCACCTCAAGACTGTATGAAATTGAGGAATGCTATAACCTTGTGAAAGTATGGTTAGCACTTTTGGAACCACTTCACAAACCACTGAAAATGAGCTTCACTGATGCATGTTCTTATATGAATCATTCCAAAATGCCCCCTTACTACAGATTGCTATTTCACTTGGAAAATGAGCAACTTGGGATTCAAATTACGATGCCAATTTTGGAGTTAAATAATAACATTTAAGAATTTCTATAAAGTGCACATTTCCATGTAAACTTACTTATAGCACTACAAATATTAGCAATACAAGAAAATTTACGGGCTTACTCTTCAAGCAAGATTATATATATGTGCTCAGGGAGGAGCAATTCTGACAGATCTGTCACCTCAGGACCAGTATAATCTTGGAACAACTAGAAGATGTACCTGAGTTTGTGTCAATTCAATTACGCTATAATCTAATATATGAAAAAGACTGGGCAAAACCTAGACACAGAGAAGCCGCCAAAACACCTCAACATAATTCCTTATTGAAAGGGGAAGAGAACATTCAAATCCTTGTTGAAAATATTGCTTTACAAAGCATTGATCTTGAAAACACAAGGGATAACAACCCATGTCATTTTCTATGGAGAAAGGCAAACAGATGCAATAAAGCCAGATGTGGGCATTCCCGGTATCTCTTCAATTTGTTAACTGTAGCTATTACGAGGCCCATTAGAATCAGTGTCATGGCAGCATGGTGTTACGAAACTCTTACCAAACCCAATCCTCCAGTCACTCTTTGATGATCGAAACAAGGGGAGGGGTGGACGTGAGGATACCCCCCCAGTCGATCCCCCCGGTCGATCCCCCCCTGGTCGATCCCCCCCCGGTCGATCCCCCCGGTTGATCCCCCGGTTGATCCCCCGGTCGATCCCCCCCGGTCGATCCCCCCCCCGGTCGATTTTGAGCAGCCAACTTTATCTTGTATTCGGCTTTTCAACCTTAAATAACTATGTTGAAAAGAGGCACGTACCAACACAAGATCATGTCAAGACCAATGGCAGGTCAAAAAGGTGGATGAGGTTGAACATACATGTGTACATGTATGTAAGACGGATGTTCTGCTGAACTTAGAAATAAAAGCAAACTATTCACAATACCAGCTAGGCTCTGGACAATCAGGAAATCTCTCGCTTAAACAGGGACATCAGTCGCACATTAATTTACTATGTGCATGTTGGTCTGTTTAGACACATGCAAGGGATGGGGGGAGAGAGGAATTGGGATGATGGGCGAAGGGGATAAGTAGGTAATGGATAAGATGAAGGGTGGGGGCAGAGTACGAGATGGATTGGGGTGATGGGTGGGGCAAAGAAGGAGATGGATTGGGCGTAAGCTTTAGAATGCCATATATTTTGAATCAAGCTTTAGAATGCCATATATTTTGAATCAAATCAGCTAATTTTTCTGTACCAGTGCTTGCTGGCTTTGTCGTTCTAGTCCAACTGTTGTTGCCCAGAGCATTTCATCTGCATGTACCTATGAGAAATTGCTGTTTACTCTGCTGGATCCAAACATCACAATTTCTAACCCAAGCATTGGGTACGTACATGAATATTTTATCTAAGGCTACACACATAATTTGTGCATTAATCCACCGATGGCTATGGTCAAAATCAGTTAAATCACCTTTCGTTTTAATCTAATACGTATTGTTATGTGTTAAAATCTAAATTTAAAGGATAGCTTTGTAATTAAATGTCTAGAGTCCTTGCACATAGGTCTTTGAAGAATCAACTGCTTGCCAGTGCTTTTGAGCTTTTAAGAAGAGGGTATTGTGGATTAGAATCTCTGTAACATGTTCTTAAAGAATTGAACTACACTCCTATAGAGATGTGTCATGTTACTTAAGAAATGACGGTACATGTATTTCAGAATTTGCAGGACAGAATTTTATTAAAATGGACTCCCAGAAAACTTGAGCATCTACTTTTTTTGAAGTCCCATGTCTTCTTCAGGGTGTGAAGTTTATTTCTGAAATAGCTCAACCTATGTAAAAAGAGTCAAGTAACAATTCATAATTGTGATACTGGTCATATAATTTGTCATATATATGTATATTGCAATGTCACAACTGTGAGAAGACCTGGAAAGCTAACAGGCAGGCAAGGCATGTCAAGAAACAGCACCAATGTTGCAACCAACCCCATATTGTTGGTAAACAACCACAAGCAGCCAACCTCTTCTCATCAAAGACATATGGAATGCCATTACTCTCTTCGGTGGCTTAATTTGTTGTACCTGTACCAAAGACCCATCTTCTAAGCTTGGAAGGTCTTTGACCCATTTCGCTCATATGTATATTCACTAAGATTTCTAAAGACTTTGTCGTTGAATATATTCTCAGTGATATAAGACTCGCTATTGATAATTGTCAATTTGGTTAATTGAAGGGTTCATATACAACCCACTGTTTGGTCAGACTTCAAGATGACATTCACACTGTTCTCAAACCACAAAACTCTGTCGTGGTAATTGCCACTGATTTCAGTAAAGCTTTTGACAGGGTTGATCATAATATTGTCTTTAATAAGTTTATCCAATCAGGGGTTAGAACTTCCTTAATTCCTTGGATAGAAATTTTCTTGTCAAACCAGTTACAGGCTGTTCGATACAATGGTGTTCTGTCAACTTAGGAGACTTTTCATGGTAGAGTTCCTCAGGGAACAAGAATTGGGCCTATTGCATTCCTAGTCATGATCAATAATTTTGCTCCCAACCAATTGGACATAAAACATTACCAATATGTTGACAGTTTGACACTTTTTCAGACTCTTTTCCATCCCAAAAAAGCTCCAGCATACATGGTGAGCTCAATTACCTACAACAATGGTCTTACTTGAATAAAATGAAACTGAACCCCACTAAATGCCAATATATGAGCATTTGTTTTCAGCGCAACCCGGCACACATACCCCCATTTGTTATATCTGATTTTCAGATCGGCCAAGCAGATTGTATGAAGTTGTTGGGTATATATACTGAGTAATTTGATATTGGACTCCCACATTAATAATATGTGTAGAAATTTAACCGAAGGCTTTTTTCTTGCCATAACTCAAACGAAGCTTAGTTTCTGTTAATGATTTTCTGACAGTGTACATGTATGTTATGTATGTCAGCCCCATGATCGAATATGCTTGCCCTGTTTGGTGTTCTGGAATGTCTAAGGCGCACTTTGTCACTTTGAGGCTGCAAAAGAAAACTCTAAGAATTAGTTTGGCTGGTGATCTTAGTTCTGCAAAACCCTATGAGATTTGTTATCAACATCAACAGGGCCCCACTCTTTTCTTATTGTTTGATTTTTATACAGCTTCATGGATAAGCAGTCTGTTTGCTTATGTATTTGAGTCTTTTTTTTTGCAACTAGCATGGAAAGAATTTTAGGTTGATGTCAATTTGAATTCACTGGTAGAGATACCAGAGTTTGTGTCTAGTGGAGCTTCCTTGAAAGTATGTGTGAATTTTGCTTAATTTTAACTAGGAAATCATGACTGGTCCCACGGAAGACCACAGAAGTGGATGGGTCATGCTCGTCAACATATAACTCATCCACGGACCCATTATAGTATTTCTCCCACACACACACACACACAGAAAAAAATACACAGATTGTTCAAAATTTTACACAACTGTAACGATAATTAGGTAAATTTTTACTAAACATTTGTTGGGTACGTTTTTTCTTAAAAGTTTGGTAAAATTTAACTTTGAAAACAGGTATGTAAATTTTCCTAATAACGCGGTAAAAGCAATTAGGTAAATTTTACACTATTTTGCAGTTCAAAAGTACAGAGATTCTATGTAGAATAATTGGGGATTACCTGCTTCTTGGGTTTTGTCAAAATTATACCAAATTCTACGGTTAAGTTACATTTATTTATTTCTAAATAATACAATCAGTTTCTCAGCCATTAAGTAACTGAACACATGAACAATTTTATATACTGAAGTTTAAATGTATGTTTATTCTCAGTCAATTGATATTGAAATTTATAAGTACATGTAATAACATTAAATATTTCCAGTATACTTAAAACAAAATTTGTCCATAATATTTTTCGTCATCGGAGGCACTCAGGGTGTAACAATCAACCACGATCTCCGCGCAGCCCTCCCTCTATCTCTGACCGATGCTCATGCCATTCAATCCAGTATCCACGCCTCGACCACCCTAATTTGCCAACTCTCCATATATTCTGCCACTCGGTCTGGCCATGCCCCACACTGTCTTACAGACATGAGTTCCTCTGTAGTGGGTGTGTTAAAAATTTATATATTGTGACTGTTACAAGGTCAACAAAAGTGCGCCTACTGTCCGCACTCACTTTTGTTAATGGTTTGCCATGGTTGCCTTTTCCGACTGCATGAAAAGGCAGACTTGGTAAGTATTTTGATTTAACGATTTTATTCACTGGCGATCTTTATTCCAGCAAGTAAATGAAAATGTCTTAGCACTTTGATGTACGTCAAAAGTACTTGGTTATGGAGTGGTCTCCCATCTTTGGACACTCCTTACCTGCAATTTTTCTATTTTTGCCATGGATACGGAGTGATCTTAATTCTCCGTGCATGTAATGATATGACCGTAGTCCTCCAACTTCAGGATACAAATGGCCAAATCGAACATAGTACAATGTAACACGGCTCACTATTCTTTTCTTTTTATAAATACTTCAGGTTCTATTTACATGTGGGCCGACCTTCCTACGCAATCACCTCCAGTGGAGGACCATCACCGAGCACCCTTGGCCGGCCTCCCCTTCGTACCTCTTGGTCCAGATGTGACTGTGACAATGGATGTATCGCTGTTCAGATAGGGCCTTTCTTCTTCCACTCCATGCATCCGGGGTCTAGGTCATCGCCTCTCAAGACAAACACAGCAACAGGTTAGAGCTCCAAGTGGTGTTTAATACTCTTCACCACTTTCGACAACACCTAGTGGGTCATTCCGTTCAAGTCCAGAGCGACAACTCCATGGCAGTGACGTGCATCAACCACCAGGGCGACATTCGCTCCCCCAACACTGTGCCCTTGCATGGCAGCTCTTCATGTGGACGAACAATTAAGAGATCACCCTCCAAGCCATCTACATACCAGGAACCAGCAACAGCATAACAGTCACACTCTCTCGGGGCACCGTCCAACCAACATTATTCCCCCGAAAGTGGTCAGCCATATCTTTGCGGAGATCGAGTGTCCCCATATTGACCTCTTCGCTTCCACTGACAAAACTATCTCACAAAGTTCTGCTCCAGGCTCCCTCACCCACAGGCACGGGCGACAGGCGCCCTACAGTTCGACTGATCGGGCCTTCTGGCGTATGCCTTTCCATTAACATCCCACACGTCCTGTCCAAGATAGGACAGGAGCCATGTCGGGTCCTCCTCATCGCCCTGTTCTGGCCTCACCAACGGTGGTTTCCAAGACTGACAAGACTCTGAGTTTGATAGCCGCTGGTCCTTCCATCCCGGGAGGACATTCTTCATCAACCCAAGTCGGGGGTCCTCCATCCAGCACAGGGGGGTCTTCACTTCACGTGCTGGACATTGTCCAATGATCCTTCAGAGCGTCAGGCCTTTCTGTGGATGCTGCATTCATGGCGGCCTGGGGTCAATGACTGTCCACTCGTAAAATTTACAGCAGCCGACTACAACATTTTACTAGATGGTGCGACGACCACAATGTTTCCCCAACCGAAGCTCCTGTGAGTTCCGTCACAGACTTTTTCAGGTTTCTGTTCCATTTGGGCCTCCAGATTGCCACCATTTGCAACTACCGGTCAGCCTTGGCAGCCGTTCGTTCGGGCTTCAGCGATAGATTGGTGGTCTCTGATAATGCTGCCATCCACCATCTTCCTTGAGGACTGTTTGTTGAGCATCCTCATGTAAAACGCCTCGTTCTATCCTGGGACCTTGGAAGCGTCTTACATGTTCTTGCTGGTCCCCCCTTGAGCCGCTTTCTGATGCATCTGATCTCCATCTCGGCATCAAACTGGTGCTCCTCCTTGTTGTCGATACATAGAGAAACGGTAGCGAACTGCATGCTCTATCGATTGCTGAAGGTCACATCCGTTGGGAGCCGCATGGGGTTTGCCTTATCCCAGCCATAAAGTTTTTGACGAAAAACCATACGCCTACCTTCCAGCCTCTCGACATATTCATTCCCAACATAGCCGCACATTCGGGAGATGACTCTGACAAGATATGGTGTCCAGTTCGCACTCAAGTGGTACCTTGCCAGGACCAAGTGTCGCCGAGAGTTTAGTTCCCGGCTCTTCATCACTACAACAAAACCCTTTCATCCAGCGTCAAAGGACGCTATTGCCCAATGGACGGTCTCGGCCATTATCTTCGCGAACTGAGACGGACTGGCACAATATGACAAGATGACCCGATCTCACGTCAGGGCCCTCAATGTTTGGGCCACTTCCGCATCCTGGTCACAATTCAGAGAAGTTCCTCTAGCAGAAATCTGCCAGGCAGCTTGCTGAAGATCCCTCGTCACCTTCACTGAGTGCTATCTGAAGGATGTTCTGCAGAGCGAAACAGCCCTTGGCACAGCAGCCTTGCGCTCGGCAGTCCGGACAGTGCCCAGCACTGTCCCTGGCCAGACGGTGAATACTTCATCATAGACATTCCTTTCTTGTGGTGAGTGTTCGCTTGAGCAATGCCCGCATATGTTCTTTTAGTAACTACACTCCCATCGCCGACCCACCTACAGGGTACTGTGCCACTCTGCATATGTAGACTGGGCAGGGGTATGTGAAAGCAGCAGACTCCTCCCCCACATTAGTGTGGGTCGGGTCTAGTAGTGATACTTACCCCTGCCCAGCTGCTCCTGCCCGTCCTTCCCCTCTTTGGCTCCGGGGGTTTGCTCAGCTTTGAAAGGAAGGACAAAGATGGTGGTGGGATAACATTGCATTGTGGGGGGTCAAGGGACAGCATGCATAATGAAGTCTTTTCAGCGAATTGTAATAGGCACATCGGAAATTTGCATATGTAGGCTGGGCAGGGGTAAGTATCACTAGGAGATCCGACCCACACTAATGTGGGGGAGGAATTAAACTACTGTATCTGTTTAAACCTCAAACTTTCAGCCATCATGAACTCTTGGACACTAAAGGAAAATACAGGACTCTGAAACTTATTTTTGCATTCAAATTTATTTTAATCATAGGCTGCAGTACTGTCATGAATTAATCTTGCAAGAGGCTTTACAAAAAACATGAAAAAGATGGGAGGAATGTATTGTTTCTACTTCTATTTATAGTGATTTTATACAATTATTTTTGAATGTGTTCTAGCAGTGAGTGTGTCCACAACCTTACACTTGGGTTCCGGAAAGAACAACACACAAGGCGTTCATTCCACAGGGGTGCAGACCAGCAAATAAGCTGCCTTAGACGACAGTAATAAATATCCCACTTCAAAATATCAAGGAAATACAAGTGTCTACTGCCTACAACCTATGCAGATTACCAATACATAAGCATTATTTCATAGTCCATTACTTCAATTCACTGAAATCTTGACCACCAATAGTGTGCCCTCACTCACTCCCCCCCCCCCCCGCAAAGGTGTCGGCCATGTTCATCC